TTAGCACTAGGCAGGTCACTCGCTCTCCTTCTCTGAGGGTGAAGGACCTGTGGTCCAATGGGTCTTGGGATAGAGATAGGTTAGAGAGGGTGTTGGGTACTGAAGCAGGCTTTAGTGACCAGGTTTTAGATCAGATCCAGTAGATTCCCATCTCGGAGGAATGTTCAGACAGTATGAGGTGGAGATTTACATCTTTGGGGTGCATTTTCTACGACCTCAACTTGGGGAGAAGTTCAACTGGGTGACCGGCCTAACTTTCTTTTCGGGGCCATTTGGACTGACCTGCTTACCTCGACCATCTTTGTCTTCCTTTGGCGTCTCTTTCTGCGCTGAATTTTGATCGACGTTGTGCTGACGAGGAGATTTTCTTTTCCTTCGCGGTGTTACTGCTGTGTCGGGATCGAAAATTTTCAAAATGAGACTTTTTCCCATTTGTTTCTAGAGAGTGAGGTTGCGAGGAGAGTGTGGGAGCATTTTGCCACTTATACTCATATATCTCTTCCCACCACAGATAGCTTTTTTGAGCTCCTAAGTTTTTTCTCACTGCGCACACAGTGTAAACACGTGAGCTTCCTCATTTCTTGTCTGATCTTGTGGTCCATCTGGACAGAAAGAAATAGTGAGAAGTATAGGGATACTACTTTTATGTGCTCTCACATTGTTTTGTAGCTTTAGCGACATCTATCTCTCATCGCAGCTCTAGGTAGACTCACACCTACATACTGGACAGGTTGCACGCTGCCCCACCGCTTCGTACCATCCCCGATGCTGCATGTCCAGCACCCACGGCCCAGAGTCATTGTTTGGCTGAGACCCGATCCCCTTAGGTTAAGCTAACCACTGACAGATCCTTCGACCGACTTAGCGGAGCTGTCGGAGGAGGAGGCCTGATTAGGGACCACAACGAAGATCGCATTACTGCCTTCCACGCCCTTCTTCAGGCCACCTCGAATTATGATGCCGAGGTTCAGGCGCTTCAAATCAGTTTTCAGATCGCAAACTCTATCTATTCTCACATTTGGATTGAGCTGGATGTTTTCGCTGTTGTCACCCTCTTGAGCTCAGGCCACCAGGCTCCATGGCAGATTCAGCACCCGCTCATGCGCATTAGATCCACACTCCAGTCGGTCTGCTACCGGATATCGCACATCTTCTGCGAGGGGAACCGACCTACTGACTTCCTTGCTTGCATCGGCGCCTCCACTCCTCAGAGGCGCATCTTTCAGTTGGACGACACTCCTCTTCGCCGCCGTACTCTTGTGTGGATTGATCAGATTGGTTACCCATCGTTCAAATTTGAGTAGTTGTTTTGTTTTTTATGCTTTAGACCACTCGTGGCGCAGACTGTTTGCCTGGGCACCTGTTAGCTCAGTTTCAGATTTTTCGCTTTCGCTGTTGTTTTTCTTTTTCCTTCTCTTTTGTTTTTTAGCTTTGGTTGTGTTGCTTGCTATTTGAACTTGTAGATCTGTGATTTTTCAGCCCATTTTGGGTCTGTTTATATATATAGGTTGGGGGTTCTGCCTTAACCCACAACCTTTTAGGGGTGCTTCTTCCAAAAAAATAAAAATAAAAATAAAAAAAATAAACTACTACCTCTAAAATATTCATGGTCTATGCAATTGTTTTAAATAGCGCCATGTAGCTCGCAATAGCACGTTATAACGCTTTTTTTTTAACAAAACGCGACGTAGCGATATATATTTATCATTTTTTTTTCAAAAATTTTTACGCAAAATGGTGAATGCCACATAATTTTACGCTATTATGCTATTTTACGATATTTTACGCAATTTTGCGTTATATTTCTGTAACGATGTTTAATCAATAAAATATTTAAAAACTCATATTTTTTAAAAATTTGAGTCATATTTTCAAATTTTGTTAATGATTTAAAATTAAAATATAAAAATGCAAAGTCCTAAGTTGAATAGTGTAATTTTATCGACCTAGTTCTATTATATTATTTTATTTATTCGTATTTGACATGTAAATTAAAGAATAAAAAGTTCGAATCTAGTTGTTAGAATTAAGTTGTAGTTAAATTAAAAAAAAAAAGTTAATGAAAATGTACGTTGATGTGCAGTTGCACCTTGAATCGACCTTCCAACGATCCTTGACCGCCTTTGCTCCCGGAGACCTACAAAGACGCCGGGAGGTGTTCCCCGCGCTGAACCACTGACGATCAAGTCAGTAAAGATTCTGGAAAGCTGTATAGAACTGTATGAAATATTTTTAGAGTATAGAGTGCGATTAACCTTACCTCTTCCTCAATTTTACCTATTTATAGAGGGTATTAGTTTCTTCAGTACGCTTGGTTCTTCCTCCATTAGATCACTTATTCCTTTATGAACCACCTTCAAATCATTGCTAGACCGCCGCAAACACCTGCAAGAACCCAACGCCGGGAGAGGTCCCGGCGTCGGGCCTCCGACGCTCAAGTCAGTAAACAGAGGAGAGGAAGATGAAGCTCTGTAATGTAGAGTTGTAATGCATGTAGAAAATGCATAGAATGTGGGGGAGAGAGCTGCTCTAAGAGAGCAGCAGCAGCAGAGAGATGGAAAGTGTATAGAATGAGTAGAATTTAGGGTTTAGGGTTACCTCAACCCCTTTATATAGAGGGAACTACATGCTTGAAGTACCCAAAATGCCCCGGTCGGTTTACCTGAAGTGTCCAAAATACCCTGGACGGTTCGCATTCCATCTTCCTCCTAGTCAGCTCAAGATTCTTTATTATCCAATTACTGCCTCTAGATCATGCTCTTGTAGTCACAGATATGTCCAGTGGCGCAGAGGTCTAGTAGCGGAGACCTCTAGTCACGGAGATGTCTAGTAGAGAAGACGTCTAGTAGCGGAGGTCTAGTAGCAGAGACCTCTAGTCAAGGAGACCTCTAGTCACGGAGACGTCTAGTAGAGAAGACGTCTAGTAGCGGAGATCTCTAGTCACGGAGACGTCTAGTAGAGAAGACGTCTAGTAGCGGAGGTTTACTAGCGGAGACCTCTAGTCACGGAGATGTCTAGTAGAGAAGACGTCCAGTAACGGAGGTCTAGTAGCGGAGACCTCTAGTCACGGAGACGTCTAGTAGAGAAGAAGTCTAGTAGCGGAGGTCTAGTAACGGAGACCTCTAGTCACGGAGACGTCTAGTAGAGAAGACGTCTAGTAGCGGAGAGGTCAAGTAGCGGAGACCTCTAGTCACGGAGACGTCTAGCAGAGAAGACGTCTAGTAGCAGAGAGGTCTAGTAGCGGAGACGTCTAGTAGAGAAGACGTCTAGTAGCAGAGAGGTCTAGTAGCGGAGACCTCTAGTCACGGAGATGTCTAGTAGAGAAGACGTCTAGTAGCGGAGAGGTCTAGTAGTGGAGACATCTAGTCACGGAGACGTCTAGTAGCGGAGAGGTCTAGTAGCGGAGACCTGAGCTCTAGCTCCTCTTATCCAGTCGAGACGAGATGACCTCTCGCAAGTCTAGCAGGTCGAGACGAGTCTAGCAAGTCGAGATGACTTTTGGCAAGTCTAGCAGGTCGAGATGACCTCTAGCAGGTCGAGATGAGCTCTGGCAAGTCTAGCAAGTCGAGATGACCTCTGGCAAGTCTAGCAGGTCGAGATGACCTCTAGCAAGTCTAGCAAGTCGAGATGACCTCTAATTATCTTCTTAGAGCAGCTCGACCTTCTCATACTCAGTCACCGAGACCTTCAAGTCTCGTCTAGAGTATGGCTATATCAATTTCCATAGTGGGGTGAAAAAGACTATTTTCACTAATAAATGTACATAGAGGTGTACATAACACTCACATGAAGTGGGGTCCACTTGATTTTTTATTTTTGGTCGGTCCCACTCAATGTGAGTGCTATGTACACCCCTATGTACAATATCATGTACTTATAGCATTTCTATTCCTTTTTTATCTTAACCTTGCACGTGTACCTTGTGGACCACCTCTCATAACCGTCTCTATAGGTCGACTCTTATTTTTATATGGTACTTTTATAGGTCGGCATCTCATTATAAAACGCCTTTAATGTCTTATACTGAACAACTGCTAAGCCGAGCAACTCCTAAGCCGAGCTATTGACACCACAATACTTCTAAAGATCGAGCAGCTCCTATGTCGAGCTATTGATAACGGGGCGGTTTGGTCCTGAACTTACAACTTTAGCTACACTCAGTTCATTTGCCGAGCTAATCTTGACCGATTTATCGAACTATTCTTATGTGCTATATCATACATACTTAAAATTAAAGTATGACTTATCTTATTATATTTTCGTTGTTTGTTTTTATTTTTTAGTATATTTGTTTTATTATTAAAATATTTATATTGTGATTTTTATATTAAATATTTGTGAGGAACAATTTTTAAATGTTATTTTTGAATTCATTCAAATATTATGAAAATTTTTGGAATCAATTATCCAACTTTATTATATACAAATATATATATATATGATATTTTTGTGAAAGAAAAAATTATACTTAAATAATTTACGGAACCCCACAACACTATTTATTTACAGTACGCAATATAAAGATATGCGACATATTACAACGTATCCGTCTTGAGATCCGCGACACATTACAACCTACTACCTCCTATTCTTTTTAAATGTCATTTTGGCTTTATTAACTATTAACCAAAATAAATGTCGTTTTGGATCTTTTGTACATATTTTTCCATTATTACCCTTATTTAGTTAATAAATACACTACGTCTTTTCATATTCTCTTCATCTTTTTTTTTTAAAACATCAATCTCTATCTTCATTAATGAGGGTTATTATTGACAAAAAAATTATTCTTAATTAGTGTGCAACTTCCCAAAACGACACTTATTATGAATAGGAGGGAGTATATTATTGTATCCGTCTTAAGACATTGGTCTATAGCAACAATGTGCGGCTACGGCGAGTGGATGACTTCTGTTTTGACTCCCACACCTAATGAAACCTAATTATTGCACAATGGAAAACAAAAGCAATTGTTAAATAGGAAAAGAAATAGGGAAAAGCAGGCATCGCATTCGCATCATATTCATACCCCATATTTTTCCTGACCACAGAAATGAGAAAATTAAAATAAATAAAATTAATAAGATTCGTTCTCACGTCTCTCTCATCTGTTGTCTGCATTGGTAGTTCCCTCTTCCTTTGTTTCTTCTTCAAACAAAAGAAGAGAGGAAGAGAGGAACAATCTCGCAAATTCGTACAAAAGAAAAATTGACAATCGAACATTTTTTTTTAAGTATACTATATTTTATTCGTACCGAAGTTGCTGCTGCTGTTGTTTTATTTCTTTTTTGTTTTATTGTTGAGAAGGAGGTAAAAAAGAGGGAAAAAGGATGTTGGTTGCAAATAGTTTTGATTTATGGCAGAAGGACACCTTCTTTTCTGCCGCCGAGGAGGTTCAGCTATCCGCCGACATGTAAGTGTGTGTTCTGTGTGTGCATCTGAGTTCATGTTTTATTTGGTGGCTCTTTGTTTGTTAAGACGAATGGATCCTTTCTGTTTGTATGTGCAATTTATCTGTAATTTTCTCTCTCCCATTCCATTTTCATGATGGATTCAGTGTTTAGGGTTTTTCTTTTTATGGAGGTTTTGGAAAATTATCATCTCCGCTTGTTGTTTTTTGATGAGTTTGCATATCTTTGCTGCCCTTGTAATGATTTAATTTGCATATATATTTAGCGTTTTTGGTTTTTGGGATATACTATTGATTAGTTAGGTGAACTGTGTCTCTGTTAGAATGTATGTAGTTGTTTTTTTGTTAAGCAATGCTAATGTTCTGTAAAAATTGCTGTAATTACTTCTGTTAAATTACAGTTATATGATTATATGGTATATGCATTTTAGTACAGAAGTCATTTTTCGGTTTCCTTCTTTCAAAATTACTTGGTGTCCTTGCGATTATACAATTAATGCGTATGGTATGTGGTTCTCAACCTGTTTAACTAAAGGCTATGCCTAAAAATAATTAAAAAAAAAAGAAAGAAGCTAAAAACGACAATTTGCTGTGCTTTTATGCTTTGCAGTATGGAATCCGGTTACAGGACATGGCTCAGAGCAAGGAGAGAGAGCTCCATGTCTCAGCAGTTGGACGAACTTAGTCGAGAGCTTCAAATGGCTTTAGGCACTACAAAATGGCAGGTCATATACTTCATTTTTATGTATACATTTCATATTTCTCATTTCCGGCAAAACGAATTTGTTTCGCTCGTCAAACAGAATGTCTTCATCAAGCCTTTCCTTTGTCTTATCTGCTATTTCTTTTGAATCAGTAGAAAAAAAGTTAAATAATGGCATAATTGTTTATTGATAATTTCTGTAACTGATTTTTGTGGAGTCTTTAGTTCATTATATTTTCTGTAATTATTTAATTGTTATATTATATAGTTGGAAGAGTTTGAGAAGGCTGTTCGTCTAAGCTACAGAAAAAACAGTGACGATATCACAATCACCCGACATAAGCAATTTGTTTCTGCTATAGAAGGCCAAATTTCACGTATTGAAACATCACTGAAAGAATCGTTGGACGTGAAGGGAAAGAAACCATTTCGGTGGGTAAATTTGGACGAACAAGAATGTGACGACTTGGCTCTTTTTCTTTCTGGGACTCCACGAAGAATAAAAAATGAAGGCATAAATATGGGTCCCATGGAAACTTGCTCATTTAGTACAGAAGGAGATTGCAGTTTTGGCTGTGAGGTTAATCCCAAAAGTCATAGCCTTGCAAGTAATGTGGATCTTAACTGTGAGCTGCAGGAGGTGCAATCTCATGTGACAGCAAATGAGATCGCCTATGAAGTGGATCAAGCTATTAGGGTTTCGCCAGATAGGACGGCTTTAGAGATTGTCATTGATAGTGATGATAGAGACAAGCAGGCGCTTATAGAAGTAACACCTAAGGAGAAGGGTTTCAAGCCTTTCTTTTGGAGACCAAGGGGTGAAATTTATTCTATGATGAATTGGATCGAGCAGGTAATTTTTCTTACCATAAATTAGGAGTTGGAGGTTTAGGTCTAGTTGTGTCTGTGGTTTTATTTTCAGTAAGTATTGTTTTCTGCTTATTGTTGCATTTATAATTTTGGAATAATTAGAACGACCACCCCCGATGTTTGGTGTATTTTCCATTTTTTTCTATTTGAAAAATATAAAAGAACATAGAGATGATTCAGAATTACTGGACTCCTCGAGGTTTGATTCGGTCTTACATTTCCTCCTTCAAGAATTTTAAAAGTCCGTTTACAATTTATTAAATATTATGATTACCATTTTCAAGATTGTGGCAGAATCCAACATCACGCATGGAATTTTGTTGTTTTATTGTAGTTATCGCAACCTATGGGGGGAGTTATTGCAAATATTCCAAAAATTTATTTCACTTGTTCTCATTTGTCTCTTCATCGACCATTCTGATCTCTATACAAACAACAAAGAAATAGTTCTTTGTTCTTTTTTATTTTCAATTGGTAAAGGGGTTATTGTTTATGGATTTCAACTAGTTTTTATTTGGTTTGTTTTTTAACTATAGTTAATTTTGAAAAAATGTGGTATGGTTAGTTGTTAGTGGATATATTAAAATAATATTTAAATAAAATAATTAAAGTTGATTTGATGTAAAGTAAGAGAAAAATGATTGGAAGTGATGGTTAGTTAAAATTATGTGAGTGAAAATTTTTTTTTTAGTTGAAACAATAAACAATCACCCCCTAAATTAAATGTCTGTTTAGATGCAAATGACTCATTATCAACAGCTTTGTCTGAAGATATTTTAAGTATCCTGAATATTTTTCCCGGTTTTACAGCACGTGGGAGGAGGTCATAGAAGTCATAGACAACAAATTTCACCAGTGTTGCCAGTGAAGTCTATACGTTTCCTATTAGCTTTGATGCTAACCATTTTTTTAGTCGGTATGCTTTTCGTCTTGTATCTTCTATCGGCAATGCATTCTCCAAATCTTTT